TACGGTTTAGTCAACACCCGGTTATATTTTCACACTTTTTTTTTCGTTCTAGCTCAAGGTGAGGGGCATGTTTAGTTGAGTTCAAGTTAGGTTTACGCTCTACGCCCAGTAGGCGTGGCATGGGTCTATGATCCCAAAGGGCCCACTACCACCTCATGACAAAGTTTGCTTGACAAATCTATAGGCAGAAAACATAAACAGAGATTGATTTCAAGACAATAAACGCCCTGCGCCTTTTCCACTTCCTCATAACGCTTTCCCTTGAGAATTAATATCCTTCGGCTGGACTTAATCCTCTCGATCTGGGCTATGTCTCCCGTAACACCTCACTATCCTTGGAAAATAGAAAAAATTTTCCCATCTCTCTTCTACCAGCATCTCCCGTCCTCTGAATGGTGATCCTTGCTTCAAATTTCTCCATTGCTCCAGCGCTGTCTGACATTCTGCAAAATGCCAGGGACACACCTCTCCCGCAAACGCAGTTGCAGTTGACAGACTATTGGCTAAACCTTTCATGGTGGTCCCTGATATTGCCATGTCCTGTCCTCGCTGCGACCAGGCGGTGGTGCGCCCATCTCGGAAGTGCTAACTCCAGTGGACGTTTCCGTTCCACTTGCAGATCTAGTTCCCCGTAGTGGCTAGGTCTGTGCCGCAGCCACCAGGAATCAACCGCTTCCTCGCATCTTTGCGGACGAGCCGGGTAAGGACCGCGAAGTTGTTTGTGGGCCCGTCCGTCGTATGTTAGGGATCTGTGGTCTTCCCAAACGGGATGTTCCTCAGGACTAACTTAGACAGTCTGTCTACCTGAGTCCAAGTTAGAAATATTTTATAAATGCTTTTGTAATATGGACTTGAGAGATCTTCGCCATGGAATCGAGATGATTTCTGGACAAGTGAAAAATCAGCGACATCAAAGGAGACAATATGAAAATTCGTTCCCAAGGCTTGCAAAGGGCTTTGTGTGCGTTTTCCGGTAGATCAGCCAACAAATCTACTCGACTATTAATCTAGTCGTTGGCGTCTGTTGAGGCCAATCCGGAAGAATTAACAAACAAGGCACTGGTGTTGGTGTCTATTGTACTGCTTAAATCAAGCCTTCTAGCAGATTGAGCTCCTCTCTGACCCAGGCTACACCTTTTACAGTGCCCCAGCTCTCTTGTTACGGAAAAATTATCTGATACATCGCCCATAGTGGGTAGTCATTCAGCTCGCTGTCTACCTGTAAAATTTAGCGAACTTTCCCATGGAACATTATACCCAAAAAAATGGTAGCGATGGAAATTGCGTGCGCGGGAAATCTTCTCAAGTAACATGCAGCGGCAGCAGCTAGGCGAGGTGCACATATCCATCTATATCTCTCCTTTTTGTGGCATTGGAGGTCAATTTGATCCAATCCACCATCTCCGTATCGAAAGCTCGGAGTGCCCCGGAAGCTCGTCGGATAGCTTCTACTTTAGGACCGAGGGCAGGTAGCGAGTAAGGCTTCGAGCCTACCACATAATCTGATCGTGGTTAGCCCCATGATAATGGTGATTGGGAGATTTGTTAAGAAAAATTGACGATACAGATCGCGAAAGCCATTCGGAATCCTCGTCGAATTGAGGACAAAAGTGTTACTGAACCTCGGCTCGATAGACTCTGCAGTGAGAGCTGGAGGTTCGCAGTGGAAACCACTGACAGGTGTTGAGTTTCGATCCCCACAAGGCCATAGCTATAGGCTTGCAAACAAATTGGATTTCCACCGAAGCCACGTCAAGTCTACACGTATCTCAAGGATGAGGGTTTGACAGTGTTCCACGGGGTGCGTTGTATGGCCTAGTGAAGATCTAGGTGGTAAGTGAAGATTATAAATGGGTCAAAGGGATGACAGGTCTTCTCTAGGAAGAGATGAATGGGAAACTAGTTGCAGTAGATGTTACACGTGGGTCTTGCTGATGAAGAACTGGGCAATGGATATATGGTCTCCCGGAAGAAGAGATGGGTAAACAAATGTATTGTTAAGGATAAGTAAAGAAGACGTTGCGTGAGGTGTACATCTCTCTCACGCCGAACTATTATATACAATAGTAGAAACCTTTGCCAACCGGAATTAATTGTAATCAATTCTTGCCAATATCTTCGCATTAATGGCTGTGTTCTTGTCCTTCTCTTCATGACTCTCTTGCATATCCTTACATCACTTTTTTCGCGACTAATTGTATAGGGGACTATTATTAAATTGATGTTTTAATTACTACCCCTTCATCTTATCATGAATTAATATTAGTACTGAAATTCTAATTACGGATCCATGAAAACGTACGACTCAGTGTATTAAAACGTCTATAGCTAGTTATTCTATTTACTCATTCTCTGGCCGTAGCTACCAATACACACCCATGATAATGTGGATATTCGTGGAGAACGCAAATCATGGCACACTAATCTGGCGAGACAGATCTCTAGGCTCGACATGAGAGCGGTTATGGAAGTTAGTTAGGAAGACGCAAAAGGATGCAATCTCGACGGGTAAGAGGTTCCAAGTTTTGGAAAGAATGTTTTCACATAGAAGAGCTCTCATGGCGCCGAATCTTCGGTTGAGAGAGCGTAGCTAATACTGCAAATAGAGTCATGGCTGGATAGTGCTGGGGTAGATTATCTGGGCTGGTCCCCTCAAGCAGAATCTTATTAGTCTAGACATCTATCCCACTTGAGGCGAGAGGACGCTGGCTTGATTCCAACAATACTCGAATTCGTTTCTCGCGGTGCTGTTGTGGACAAATTAAGGAGTCAAATCTATTTAGCAAAGCTTCCGAAACTTCTCTTTGGTCGGCGCTCATGGAGGAGGTTAGAACTTTCAGTAAAAGTGAACTTATCTCAAAGTGGTATTTACAGATGAAATCAAGCGTATAAGTCTTTCTGAAGTCAAAATACTCATCCATCATGTACACAACACACTGGTCATCTTATAACTAAAAAGCTGCGTACATATAAAGTGATTGAGAAATTACGTCTTTCCCTAGTTTGTATAGAACTCTTCATGTGCATCATCAAGTCTCTAGTTATTCCCTGCATATCTGTCACATCTACTGAATGCTGGTTAGTCATGAACCATAACATAACGGAATTAGGCTATTTTAATCTACTAACATCTCCAACGAATCAAGAGGTCTTTGGACGTAGATTTCTCAGCTTGATGGGTATGATCCCTTAGGGTTCGCAGTAAAAAGTGATTCGAGCATCTGCTCAAAGACCGCAGATTGTCTCCGAGTTTGGAGTTGGCTTAGTTTCACATGCATATAAGAGTTAGAGTGGTCAGGTCGTTCAAGCCAGTTAGAACTTATGGTGTTTGTTGTGCTAAATAAATTGATCAGCAGAGGGAAATGACTGAACACCTGAATGCAGTGTCCACTACGAACCTGCGAGTGAAATATTCTCCCAGAGCCAAGTAGAGTCAAATGTCGCAATATCAAAGTTGGCCCACGAGGCAATGATTCAAGATTCTCCACACAGTCGATTTCTCCCACCCAACGAGATGGATCCCCATTAACACCAGATCAAGCTCACAGGTACCACTTAGTACATCACCCTTTCAAGCACCACACCTCTCCTCAAACTTCTCTTGCCTGAGTTGTCCACCGAATACACGCCGACACCAATATTCACACCTGATAAATGAAGCAAAGCGTGGCGCACAAATTTGGAGGACGGTTCTTTTGAATGGGCGTGAGAGGAATCAGTACAAGTTTGCAAGATGATGCGAAGGATGGCTACAATCTCGATCGACGTGAAAATTCGAATTTTGCCTTGAAGTTTGCTGACACGAGCTTTGTTCGTGCGCCAAGACTTCGGTTGCGAGAGTGCGGGCGGCACTATAAACACCGCCATGGTTGGATGGTGCGGTGGTGCATGGTCTTGGCCGGTCTGCCAAGTAGAGTCTGGATAGCTTGGACACATATCCCACTCGAGACAGTAGATCGCTTGTTCGAATCCGGCAAAACACAACCACATTTCTTGCGGCGCTGGCATGCATGGATGACGATGGCATGCTTAGATTGCCAACGGGTTCGAAATTCCCTTTAGTGGGTACTTACGCAGGAGGGTTGACTGTTTGTGTAAGCAAACATACCTCATAGTGGTATTTGCGAATGAAATCCAGAGTATGAGTGTCTCTAACGTCAAAAGATTTATTCAACATGTATACATAGCACCGGTCATGTGTCATAGCTAGATAGCTGAATACACATTAAATTGTTTAAACTTAAACATGATCAGCGCAATTCCACTCATTTTAAATCTGAATTAATACAGAGCCCGCTAATTACTTGGGAAATCAGATAATTCCATAGTATAGATACTAAGAAGTGTCAACAGTAAGAATCTTTGTTACCACATGAATATAAAGTTTATGACAATCGTTACATGCGGTGATTATATTTTTGAATACCTTTTTCCTTTCAACGGTTTTATACTGCATCAGATTTATCTTAAAAGCTATCTTGTAGCTCGGACAAAACGAAGAATGCTGTATACATAGGGGACGATAAATTGTGTGTTAAATTTGTGAATTTAACCATAAAAATATTTTTTGACCGACGTTTGTACTTCCATATATATTCCCATTCTTCGAGTTTGCATGAAAAGCGTGCCAAGACCTTTACATTTTTTTAGCCCCTACTTCTTTCAGCAATTGATCGTGTACCACAAAAATTACCTAATCCTTAGTCTTGTTGACCTGAGATAAAACCACTTTTTGTGTTTAGTCCAGGGTTTACCCAGTCGTGAATTTTTGATTGAAAGGCTCTAGAATTCTAGAGATTAATTGTAGGATTATACATTCTTAGTAATATGTCATGAGACTTGGAAGTACAGGCTCGGAATTCCCGTTTGAATCAGAGGTCTTCCTCATAGTTGTGAATTACACTACGTGTTATAGGGTGCCGTGCAGTTTGCTGCTATTTTTGACAAAACTGGTCTTGAGTAGGCGTGAGATTGTGTAGGAATTTTTAGTCGATAATTTTTCAGTCATCTACTTCGACATCACTAGGGATATCAGGGAATTCATCATCATGTTCTGAAGAATCTGCTTCGATAAATTCCAAGCCATTCTCATCCTGTATTTCTAGATCGTCCTCTGAGCCTACGCTGCCATCTGAGTCATTCTCGCCCGTGATAGATTCGAGGTTAGTGTTTGTTATATCAGTTGCTTCATTAGCGACCGCTAAGTTTCGATCATTGCGAGATCGAGTTGGTGTGCTTTTATCCACAAGTGTGTTAGAGCGCGTCGAAATGAGACCCCTAGGGTTAGAATTTTGACGTAGCAAGTTTTCTTTTTGTTGAGCTCTACTCCTACTACTCTCGCTTCTCATGGTTTGATGTCCCCATCCCCTGGTTCTTTTTATCCTTCCCATTATATCTCGACGGCGTACTCCAGTGCTAGTTACAACCTGGAGCTTACCACGCATTCTCTGTGAGTTGATTTCATCGGACGATAGTCTTATATCTGGCAAGGCTGGTCTAATTTCTCTGCTTAGCTTGCCCGGAATATAGTCAGGTACGCTCAGGGCAATGGTGAAATCTTGATCCATTAGACGTTTTTGCATCCGAATTGCCTCCAGCTTTGTCTTCATAATTGACTTGATCTTCGAAATAGCTCCATTACAGAACCAGCCGTCTTCTTTGATATCAAAGTCTTCGCGGTAGGGTGAATTTTCAATGATTCTCTTGAGCATTGGATCTGTTATGTCACAGGCCTGCCAGACTTTGCCATCCATAGTCAAATTTTGACCATCAAATATGTGCGATGGAACTTTTTCTTTGACAGCAGCCTCTTGATTATAGGGAATGCGAGGATCATGCCATCCCATTCCCTGGCCTCTTTCTTCTTCATCAAGTAATTTAAAAAAAAAGGTTTGGTATTTCCTGTACTTTTTATCTTTGCGAGGATCAATCCCATATTTGATAATTGAGTCCCGAAAAGGACCTCCTTTGAACTGATATGCGACAAATTGAATAGCAGCTCTGAGAAGGAAAAGATACCTTGATTGAGCTAGTCGATTTGTCAACGATCTTCTGGTCCACACCGGACGTTCCTCCAAAACAACCTTCAACTCTTGCACAAGTTCTTCAACCCCTGGGTCATCCTGTAGCTCAAAAGGTGGACCACTAGGAACTTCGGGAACGTCGTGAGCCAAATATGGGACATCAGTCTTCCTTGGTTTTGAGCGGTTGACAAGGATATTTTTGTCGCCTATTTTTTCTTCAAAAATATTACCATTCTGATGCCATTGCCAATTGAACTGAAGAGGATGAGACGTCATTGTTGGAGGAGGCATTATTTCTTCGTTTGGCACAACACCCTTACTGTAGTTGAAATCGAATTTTCTGAGTTTGTCCACTGGGGAAAATTAGCAGGAGAATTTAAATATGATATTAAGTTACCTTGGCCGACGAGGGCAGAATCGCGGAATTGAGAGTAGAATCTAGTGTTAGCAACAGAGAAGTGGAAATCTGTTAAGCCTGAATAGTGAGTATTTAATGCGCGTATGTGCTGTAGGTAGAGGACTTACATCTGTACCGGTGAGTTTGACGAATCTCTCCTACTACTTCAATTGAGTACCTACCCACATTATCAATGAGCTTGCGTTGAAGTTCTATAGGTGCATCTAATCCCCCTTGAGATCGTAGGTAGGGCGTCTCATTTCCTAGGTTTGGTGTGGTCGCGTTGAGTCCTACTCCGGAGAAAGGTTCCTGGCTTCCACGTTTCCGCTTTCGCCCCGTCCGTTTTGGTACAGTGATTTTGAGCAATATATTGTTGGTAGGAGTATTGCGAGATAGAATAGGAACACACATCTTGTCATTGTAACGGAGATACAAGGGCACGCAATCTTCGGGATCCTCGGAGTCGATTATCTACTTGAGTGTAAGTTTTCCAATTATACAAGATTTTGATTGTTTAAATTCTATTGTCAGTGGATTTAAGTTAGACTCACCCTCTCAAATGGAAGATTCGTTCCGAATGTTTTTATGCCATTGTCAAGGTTTCTAACTATCATAGGATGTTCAACAGCGACTATTTTCCGGCGTGGAATAAGGAATGTAGGAGCCTGATCATCCATAGTGGATAGCAACTGACTTGAACTGCCAGTGTTATGTGCGAAATTAATCTTTGATTTAACATTTAGGTCTTATTGACACAGTCACGTTTTTTCATTTCAATATATCCTAGCACTAACTAACCCTGCTCAATTGTATGTGAGATCGCTTCGCGACGCCACACGATCAATTTACAGGTATCAACGACGTACCCGCGCTCAGCACGTGATCTCCCCACCCACAGGCTAGTGCATCTTTAATGAGACCGCCAAGCGTATTGTCATCTTGACAGATGCAAAAATAACAAATAAAACCCAGCAGCATATCATCCTACAAGGGTTGGATGGTGCAGTGGTACGCCACCCGGGCCGTTCTCCCAAGTAGATACTGGGTAGCTTGAACACCTACCCCATTCGAGACAGGAGAAAGCTGGTTCGAATCCAGTCAGACCCACACACCACTCTCTCTCGCAGTGATATTGCACTTGTGGCATGATGAAAGCACACTTGGATAGCCACAGGGTTTTCACGCTTTTCCCTGTGGTGGGTATGCACGGAAGAGGTTATACGCCGTAAGGGTTAATCTCGAATGGTATCTGCAATTGAAATCTGAATGTGAGTGTTCTAATCGTCAAATTGAGTCATCCTACTTAAAAGCACGTATCTTCCGATAAAAACCTTCATGGGCCTCAAGGCGCCAAATCAGGAAAATGAATAATTATTGTTATTATATCACCACGAGAGTGCTGAAACACGAAACAGCTACCCTTCCAATCGAAATATTCTTGAAGCAACAAAGGCTTCAATATTTAGGTCGCACAAAGGACTTACCTGTCCAGAAGACAATGCAGTCCGCCTGTTATAAAATCAAGCTGCCCAGAAAATGGAGAGAAGATGTACGAACAGTTAATAGGAGGATAGATCTTGCCAACTGGACGGGAATGTGCGGTGAACAACAATCCAAGAAGACTCATACAGAGATAGTGAAAATTATGGCATACCAAGAGTGGGCGAAATCCTGGGCCAAGCAGACACAAACTCAAATGCCTCGGCGTTTAGCAACTGCAGATTCCGAAACTTGGAGAGCAGCCACATTTTACCAAAGTAGAGAGTCTGGACGGCAAAAACTGAGTTTTCAAGGCTCACCATTCTTCCTACACCGTAACCTCACAAGGGCCCAAAGCAGTTTGGCAATGCAAATACGAAGTGAGCTCATGGGGCTTAACTCGTATTTACACAGTAGAAACGTACCCGGAGTATTAAGTCCAGGTTGTCCATGCGGCTACCAATCACAGAACCCAAAGTACATGATTATGTCCTGCCCTCAATGGTCAAATGGTAGAGCTGAGATCTGGAGACAAGCCAAAGATCGATCCTACGAAGCGATGTTAAATAATCCTGGAGATATAAAAAGGATAACACAGTGGATCCTAAACCATGGTTGGATAGAGCAATTCCAGATGACAAAAGCGGTCGAAATACTGCTAAGGGAAAGGAAAAGGTCAAACAATGCTGGGGGAGGATAGAGATGATCTGTTTAGTTTACATGGATGGCACTATAGTGTAACTGCGCTTCCTGAAGAAAATATGTGAGGACTATAGACAACAAATAGAAAGGTGTGGGAGGTTTTCACCATAAAGGTTTCCTCCCGGGTAAATATTATAGACTGTAGACACCTGCATGGGCCCATAGGGCGCCAAATCAGGATAATGAAATCAAATTCAAATTATTATATCACCCTACACTCTGAAATTAAATTATATGAGTAAGTCTCCCATCGAACCTTATGATTTACAGATGGTATCAAAAGAAGAAAAAACAATGGAAGATATTAATCACTTCGAATCAAGGCTATCTGGCTTCCTATCAATTGGTTTCGTTCCCAACAGGCTGTAAGTCGGATCCTTTCAAAAAAATTTGTCACATGCACCCAACAATTATGTGCATGAATTCCATCCCCTGGAGCAAGTTCCCAAGACATGCTGGGAGCAAAATTCTATGCCCTATGGAGCTGAGTATAGAACTTCCCGAGACAATAGAAAATATTATGGGGGATATTTCCCCTCCACCCTAGCAGGATAGTCTGGCGTCTTTGTGCTGAAACTGTCGACGGTAGTAAGTGAAGTCAACATGTTTAGACTATGAAGCTGGTGTATATCCGAGCATGCGTTACCTGAGACAAGCGAACTCAATAGTGATTTAAGTATTGGGTCTAATAACTATCTCACTGTATCTAGACGGTACGTTTTCAGCCCGATAGATTGCAGTGGAAACTTCGCATTGCGCTCTTATTTCCCCCCTTGCCCTCACAATGGATAGTACCAAGTGTGGAGCTGGAGCAGCATAGTCGGCTTCAACTCCAAGTATGCCTGCATGGCGAGGCGGCAGTCAATTCGAGTAGATATCAAACTGAAGCTAGCTCGAAGCTAGGAGGGCAAGACTGAACACCTGTACGCGGTGTCATCTACGAACCTGGGAGTGAAATATTCTCCCAGAGCCAAGTTCAATCAAATTTCGCAATATCGAACAAGTTGGCCCACGAGGCAATGATTCAAATTACTCCACCACGTTTAATTTTCATTCTCAAAGAGATCGAATCCTACCAAAGCCTCATTAAGTCTACAAGTACGACCTAGTACATCCTCATTCCAATGATCACACCTCTCGTTGACTTCCTCTGACCTCAGCTGGCCACCAAATACACGCCCACGCCGATATTTACACCCGACAGAGGAAACAAAGCGTGGCGTACAAATCTGGGAGACAGCTCTATGGGATGGACATGAGAGGGATCAGGACAAGTTCACAAGCTGATGCAAAGGAATTGTATAACCTCGAAGGGCGTGTAATTTTAAATTTTGGCAATGAGATTTACGAACTAAGATCTGTGCGCTTCAAGAGTTCGATTGCCAGAGTGCAACTGACACCATATAAACGAGCAAACGATTGAGGGGGTTATGTTCTGCCTCCTGGTGGTTTTTTCTGCTATAGTCTGAGGATCCTGGGCGCCTACTTCACTTGGGAAGGAGACATCTCAGATCACATTTCGCGCAGAGGAAAGTTGATGGATGAAGAAGGCATGTCTAGATAACTCAGGGTTTTTGAGACGTCCACTGGGTGGGTATTCACTGATGAGGGTTGAATTGGGGTGAAGAAAAAGCCACCATAACTTCGCGGTGGTACTCATGTATGAAATCCGAGGCATGGGGCTCTACTTTTAAGCTGATTCATTCATTCTGTACTGTATCTCTGATATTGTGACATAGTGAGATCGCCGCTTGCGCTAACAAAATCTAATGCCAAAAAAAAAGTTGGGTGAATGGTTTATGCATAAATATGGTGATACTATAGATATGGTAAAGTAATCAATCCATTTCTAAATCTCGAATTTCTACCTGCAGTAGCAAAATACGAATTACTTAGCGTAGCATCACGTAGATGACCTTGCCATACCAATAGTCAAGATGAGGAATTTGGGCTTTATATTATCACCTCATTTTACAGGGGAACAAAACCTCGACTCCTGCCAGTGGTGTCCCCTACGAACCTCCAGCTCTCACTATAGAGCCTGCATAGCCGAGGTTGAAAGACAGAGAGGGAGATGTATGTTTATTGTACTACTTGAGTCTATGACTATCTAGCACATTGGCCTCCTTTCTGACCCAGGCCACACCTTGTACAGTGCTCCTTGACTCTCATGTTTCTTAAAAGATTATTGATATATTGCCCGTGATGAATAGCCATTTAGCTCAGTATCTACCCGTGGAATTCGGCCACATTTTCCATGGAACCTTCCATCCAAAAAAAATGGTAGCAATGGAGCTGCGTGCGCGGGAAAAAGTCTCAAAAAACCTGCAGCCCCAGCCAGGCGAGGCCTAGACACCGAGACTATGTGAGTTGGGGGTATCTATCTATATCTTTCTTCTTTGTAACAGTCGAGGCCAACTTTATCTAACCTACCATCTCCTTTTCGGATGCTGAGTACGCTCCGGAAACTCATCGTATAGCTTTTCCTCCATGATCAAGGGTGGGTGATGAATAGGGCTCCGACCCTACCATCTGATCTGATCTTGATAAGCTTCATGATATTAGTGACAGGGAGTGTGTTGAGACAAGAAGATGATACAGACCGCAGAAGGGATGGTGTTGTGCTGCCTCCGTTGAGTTGTTAGGAGACAGGGGAAAGGAGGAGGGGCTACTGTATTAGGAAAGGGTGGAAAATACAGGCCGGTGTACAAGCGCTGTTCATGTCCAATCATATTTCTTCACCTGCCGAGTTGAGTGAGGTAATCTATCCAAATGTCATAATTACACCATCTATTAGATGATATTATCAATTGTTGGTATGATCATCAAATATCTTCTTAATAGATCACCATTGTCGGCACAAGTTCATATTTGGTACCCATAAATACCCGTTAGACACAGTGATACGCACTCAATGTCCATCGTGCCATCACCCAGCGTGAGTGCGCCATCTCTGCGACTCACCATTGCACATGAGCCCGTACCACTCCGCCGAAGGATATTAGAGTCATATAATTGCCATACACCTCTCAGCTCACAACCACAACACACTGGGATTCCTCGTTGAAGTGAGAACGGCGCTACTCAATCTCGGCTCTGCAGACTCTGCAGTGAGAGCGGGAGGTTCGCAGGAGACACCACTGACAGGTGTTGAGCTCTCGGACCCCATTTCAAAACATCATGTATCCTCAGCCTAATCGTACCCATGCATGCTGCAATAACTCATGTAGTGTCTCAAACATTTCTCTCTCCCAGTTTGTGCAGTGTCAACTGAGTTCTACGGGCTTTGATCACATCACGAGACTATGCTTGGCGGCTTGATGAGGTCGAAGATTAAGTTAACAAAAGGTCTTGTAATTGGAAGATGGATATATTAAGCTATAATTGCAGAACTTGGGAGGCTCTACTTGAAGTTTATCTTGCCGGGAACAATAAATTCAAGTGGTAAGGGGTTTCGAGTCATCTCGTCGTGAGCTAACGCCGTCTCTGTAAAAGGCTCGGACTGAAACTCGATATAGGAAGAAATTTCATATATTAAGCTCGTCGACAATGCCCCCCAAGAGTCTTACAATCTATGACCCCCGTAACCCTTACACGTGATAAAAATTCAGCTGTTTACTTGATGCCAAAAACTCCAGTAAAGAGCGTTGGGGTTTGTAACGTAGCTGAATGTTTTTTCTACCTAGCAAAAACGGAAACTAGTGTTGATTCTTATCTTTCGGTTTCCTTATCAATTATCGTAGTTTTTCGTAGTACTTCAAATTTTGGGAGCTATTAAATACTGTTTCGAATATTTGGGTCGTATTTACGACCTAAAATTTATCTGTGTTAAGACTGTGAAACTGAAATTGTCTATAGCAGTCCCACAGCCGTTTATGGTATGTTCGTGTTGTAACTAAGCGATCATTAGATCAATCAAGAACTTGCTCTGATATCCGTATCTAACCATATACTTATCGGAGTTGGTTGATAAAATTCTCATCTTCCGAGTAAGGATTCTGAAACGCCTTAATCGATGTGAGTCTCATTTCTGTTCACTCCCAGTCACCTCCTTTGGCAGTAAGTGGGTAAAAAGTTGAAATAAATTCATTTAACCATGTACTAGTTAATGAAAGGATCTAGAAAGAAAAAAAATGAGAATGCATAAGTGCAGTGCAGAAATTATTAATCATCAAACGTTTGAGGTAGTTAGTAGCTCGAAATATAATACAAACTGGAGCGAAATGACTCGAGATTAGGGGTGAAAGCTAGTTGCAACTCCAAACTTACGAAGAGGTTTGAAAATTTGATAGATGTGCAGGGAATTTGATTAGACGGATATCTCACAAGTTATTCATAAATGAAAACATGACCGTTTCAGTTGTTATGTGTGACAACAGTCTTCTATAAGCCCTGTATTATCAGATATATGAGGGCAATATCCGCTTCATCTCAAGTTCATTATAATCCCACCAGAAGATTGTCCAAAAATACAGGTTATTATGCGGCCCTCGTACTCATTTGGTGTAGTTGCTCTTCTCTTCAGTCTAACTACTCCCGCTGTCGGTGCTGTTGCCGGACCTGTTGCCGGGCCTGGTACTCGGAGTTACTATTGTTCTGAAAATTCGTCATTTAGGGACAAAGATATAATGCTTGCCCTTCGGACTATTTTCAGTGCTCAAAACGACGTTTACCAAAATTGTGAAAATGTACCTGTATGCAGAAAAACTGTTCGCAAAAATAAGTTTAAGATCGCGCTCTATCAAGGCAGATACTTCAAGAGACCTGGAAATCGGGGCACTTTGTTCGTGACTAATATCAAGGCCATTCAGCTATACAAAGTTGTTAGAGGTAAGGCATTTAAACTTTTCCCTACAGACCGAGTTGTGGGTGGATCCAAGAACTGACCTTAAAAGGATCCTTCTGGGCAGTTGCAAGGTGTGAAGCAACCGAATGCGTTTTCGAGGGTATTTTCCGAAACCATCGCTCGGGTCACGATAACCTTTGCTCAGAAAGAGATAAGAATATTCCTTCATTAATTTACAGATCTCCGACCCGTTAGATGCCACGGCCTTAAACTCTAATCCTGAAAGAGAGATAAGATCGTACTGCCAGAAAAGGTTAATCTATTTTCAAGCCAGTCATCTGGATCATGAGCTGGTTTCAAAACACCTTCTGACTCCCATACCACAGTATCAAAAAAAAAGTAGACAGTTCAGCCGAACGTAAAAATCCCCAGGCTTCATTGAATCGAGAAGCAACAATTGTTTCCATTTCAACCAAATTATTCAACTATATTGCGAAACAATTTTGCATTGTCACTGTCGCAATGATTATGGTATCGCAACTATCCATGTTAGATGATAGTAAAACTTTGTTTGGCCCAAAATGAGCGAGGACTTGGTTGTGTACAACTAATCAGCGGTCAATTTTACCAACATTGAAAACAATCAAACGCATGAAGATTGCCTACAGACACAGATCACTGAGTAAATCATTTTGGTTAACTGGAATGGCGCAAGGCGTCATTTAAGGTCAGTACTGTAAAATATTTTGCAAGAAACGAGACTAAGGAAGATAATGTTTGATTTACATGTAGTCTGACATCTCATGATGGGTATAACTAGGCCAGGTAAAATGAATAAGCTCCATAGCTCACGATTGAGAGATTTGTTATTTGACATCGGAGGAGGTTAACTCTAGATTATTTAGCGCTATCTCAAGAAGACCTCAAGCTCTCACGATAGGGTCTGAAAACTTGAGACAGAGCGAAACCCGAGTTGAGAGGACTTCTTTTGATAATAAGTCTATAGCATCCTTTGAAATACAAGAAGAGATATGAGAATTGAGATAGGCTATTTTATAGCACACACTCTCCAGCAAGAATTAGGACTTGACTCTAAAGATTAACTGGCATACAAATGTGATATCCATACTCAAAAAACCCCCTGAAAATGAGGGAGCCGATGATAGATCTTGAATCAGTCTTTCAAAGTCTAGGGCTACGTAAACTTCAATTCTGATCAGATTTTCAAGACTTTTCTGACATTTCTCCACGACCTTCGACCGGTCCGGAGGCGTGTACAATGGAAGGAGTCGTTGGCGGATTAAGAAGGTAGAGTGCTTTTCTTTGGTAGACAAAAGCCTCCAGCGCCGAACTGCCCAGCTTTTTCGAACGATTCATAAGGGTAGCTATGTCTTCGAGTTTAGTCCTGATTCCGGTAATATGAGAGCCTCGTAGCGAAATGTTTTTGAGACTTTTCTTTGCTGCCACCTACCTATAAATGGCTGTTATTTCGTTGATCGAAGAGGGGAGGTATTGGCGGGACAAATTTGAGATAATGGATCCTCTAACTGTATACTTAATGAAGACCTGCGGAGCTTTTACTGCTGGATAGAAGCCATGAAGGGGATATAGTAGTGAATACATTACCCGAAGCGTAGACACTCTTGGATTTTAATCTGACAAGACCTACATACCCTTGCAAATTCAAACTTATTTAGGTTTTAAACGTATTCAAAAAAATATAACTATACGCCAGGAGATGTAGTTTGCCCAAGTACTGAGTCATAACCATGAATAGGACTTGCATAGTATTATTATTATCCTTTCTTGGTCTCGAACCGTGTAGGATATTTGGGTAAAATTTTCTTATAGGACAAAGAAATCGAAACTAATGGTATATATTTTCATGTGCCTCCCGTACAGCTTCCCTCGAACATTACCACTCCTCTCTAATCCTCGTTTGATCGAAGACTTCTAGGAACCTCTACCACTTCACTATCTCTCCACTCCAGCTAAACTGACAGAAACCATTTACGTGTGCTAAATAACCAAGTAAAATTGCCAAAACCCACCGGGTCTCAGGCTCTTTCAACCCCAACATCAGCACTAAATCTGAGAGCATAGCTGCCATTCTGAATCGCCGAGAGAGGCTGGCTCTTTGGATGCCGTGGGCTTGAGTATACTTGTGAATTTTACAACCTGTCTTGCTGGCCTCCCTTCACATCTTTCTCGCTATGTTGTGTTGTGTTGAAACTTTAGGAGAGCCTTGAAAAAGTTTATTTTCTGTATAGCAGCTTAACCCAACTTCTTTGTGCCATCTGGAGTATGGAAGAGTGTTTTAGATTCATTGACAATAGAAGTCCTTCTGGCTATTTATCCGAAACTTGATCGTGACGCCCACAAGCACTCCAAAGTCAAAGCCACCCGTAAGTATCAGTCCCAAAATACAGTTCAATGAGATACTCACTCTATCATCTCTCATCTCATGTCTCACCTACCTATCCTCCCTTCGGTTGCTGGGCCCAGTTGGTGCAAAGGGTCCTCATAAATCAAGACCCGAGCTTTTTATAATCTGACGCGCTTTTCTCCCTGCCGGTATACATAGCACCTTGATTTTGTATTGAGAGATGGCTGGTAGTTGAGGAGACAAGCTCTCGTTTACAATTGGAGCAGCTTCTTGATTGGCCGTTGAAGCGGGATGGTTCGTGGTTTGGTTGATATGGAGGACTTGTGAGTTAATGACAGGACCGATGATGATGAGAGGTTGTCAATTCTAGATATGCTCATGTTTGCTTTCGATTTCGATTTGGATGCGATTCTCTTTAGCTGTCCCGGATAAGCAGAGCATACGAATGAATTACATTGACGCCGTTGGGAGGTGGACAATTCAACTTCTACGGCAATTAGCATAGTCTAGGCCGTTCCCTAGTGCATAAGATCAGCGCGTTGTGAGCTGCAGTGCCTTGTTCCCAGCACGCCATGTCTCCTGTCAACATGAAAACTACCAGCTCCGCAATGTCAGATCAAGAGATAGAAGCAACAAAAGCTAGAATAATTAAGCATATGAATGCTGACCATGCAGACTCTTTATCTTTGTTTCTTCAGTTTTACTCTCACCTATCACCCAAAGCAGCAACAGGTGCCAAGATCATTGACATCTCACTGAACGAATTGAAGCTTCAGACTTCCGACCAAAAAACTGAGATACTTGCTATTCAACCGCCGATGAATACGTGGACTGAAGTGCGAACAAGAATGGTAGAAATGGACACATTGGCCCGAGAAGCGTTGGACGTCTCGAATATTTACATAACCAACTATTTGCCGCCGAAAAAATTAATACACATTACAGTCTTTGGCACTTGTCTTTTCACTTTTGTCAATTTTGCGTTGGCCTGGCGGAAAAGTATTATTGTGCCCGGCACGTACTACTACGATAAAATACTTATCTGGTTTCCCGGTGGACCCGAGATGTTTCTCAAAGTGGCAAACGTAATTACCCTACCCGTCATTGCAATTCACCTAGCGGAGGCCTATTATCTAGATAGGAGCAGATTACGAAGACATGGAATTGATAGAGGAACAAAAGTCTGGTGCCTGTGGATTTTGAGTTGCTTTATTGAAGGCATTGGCTGCTTCCAGAGATTCGATGCCGAAGTAAGGAGAAAAAACGATCTAGCAGCTAAGGCTAAACACTAGAAATGGCTCAATAGTACAAAATTCTTTTGAAAATGGCTCATGATCAGCCAGAGCGCATTAATCTCAAGGGAAGGAGCCAATTTCTGCCAAGTGCTAGGCTTTCATTCATGAGGCTAATTATAGTGGATATTCCTGATGAGGCCATGGGAAAATATAAATTGGCCATTATTGATTTGACTTGATCGTATATCGTGCGAGCCATGAGCGCTTCATTTATATTGATATGACACGAATAGTTGATCCCGAAAGTCTTAATACCACAAAGATAAAAAAGTCAAAAAGAACCAAGGATGACATAAACAAAATAAGATTTCAAAGTCCAGTCCTATGCGCCCCGCCTAAACCCCACGATGTTACCCTCCAAAGGTTCAATTTCTACGTTAGTAATTCGACTTGTGCCAATTGTCTCCGCAATAACCAAGTTATTTCCTCAACTCCATCCACTGAAGCAAATATGGCGTATCCTGTATGTGAAATGCTAGTTGCTCCTTCCGGAATTTTGGCTTTGCCGCCTACGAACAGTCCATATCGGAAACCCCTCAAAAATGCAGGTTTATGTTTATGATTCATTGCACTACTTGAATATATGAATATCTAGCACAATGATCTCCTCTCTGACACCGGCTACACCTTGTAAAGTGCTCCTATCCTCTTTTGGTACTTAAAATAACACTGATATATTTTACTAGGATTGAGATCGACTTGTGCATCACAACAATCTCTCATTTTTATTCTATATTATGTAACATAAATTCGGGTATCTAGCTATGAAATATGATAAGTAATTTATATGTGTGTTGGGTGGCTCTTTTGACGATAGAGACAATCAATCTCAGGATATTATTCGCAAATACCACTGAGGTATGTTTGCTTACACAAGTTTTCGAACCTCCTCTACGAGAGACAACGAAAGGGAAGTTTCAAATCCTTTGCCATCTATGCATACCAGCACCGTGAGTGATGTGATTGTTTTTCGCCGTATTAGAACCAGCGATCTCCTATCCCAGGTGGAATATGTATCCAAATTATCGAGAATCCACTTCGGAGACAAGCTCGGATGATGTTTATAATGATGCTCGAACTCTCGCATTCAATGGTTCGGCGCAAACAAACTCTTAATTTCTAAAAATCACCAGGAATCGAAATCTCGCACCCATATAGAAGCTCAACTGTAAGGCATTATCATAGCTATATGGAAGAATAAACTATGATGTAACAGGTTATCGTAGTGTAAATTTAAGTGCTACATTTCCATCCGAGATTCCCACATCGTTTTTTTCACCTCCAGACGGCGTCAGTGTAATCCATTCGTATGCTCTGCTCATCCGGGACAGCTAAAAAGAATCGCATCCGAATCGAAATCGAAAGCAAACATGAGCATATCTAGAATTGACAACCTCTCATCATCATCGGTCCTGTCATTAACTCACAAGTCCTCCATATCAACCAAACCACGAACCATCCCGCTTCAACGGCCAATCAAGAAGCTGCTCCAATTGTAAACGAGAGCTTGTCTCCTCAACTACCAGCCATCTCTCAATACAAAATCAAGGTGCCATGTATACCGGCAGGGAGAAAAGCGCGTCAGATTATAAAAAGCTCGGGTCTTGATTTATGAGGACCCTTTGCACCAACTGGGCCCAGCAACCGAAGGGAGGATAGGTAGGTGAGACATGAGATGAGAGATGATAGAGTGAGTATCTCATTGAACTGTATTTTGGGACTGATACTTACGGGTGGCTTTGACTTTGGAGTGCTTGTGGGCGTCACGATCAAGTTTCGGATAAATAGCCAGAAGGACTTCTATTGTCAATGAATCTACAACACTCTTCCATACTCCAGATGGCACAAAGAAGTTGGGTTAAGTGTCACGGCACGGCATTCTGCTCCGCCATGATATACAATTACGTGGAGGGAGGATGTGAGACTGATGGCTGATGCAGGAAGGAGCACGGACGCGGCGATTTAGTAGAAACCCGCCCGAATAGGAATAGCCTCAGGGCTTTTTGTAATGAGATCCTGTTCTTTTCTATTCTTCTCCAGCTTAGTATTTGCTTCACAGATTGAATTATCGCCATACAAGCTGTACTTTCACTTGTGCCTATTCTACGCCGTGACATAATAATAAGCTCCCTAAACTACTCAACGCGACCTCTGTAGAGAGGTAAAATACTAATTTCAGACTCAGTAATCTGTGGACAGCGTTTCGCTCACGATTATCTGGACAGTCATTGGCTAATTGTCTCGCTAATAAAGGAAAGCAGAAGATGCCAGGAGAGTGGCCGAAGGAAGACTTCACAACCTCGGTGTACGCCACCCGCGCACCCGGGGAAGAGGAGGACCTCACTACGAAGATTGATGTTCCATGGTATCAGAAAGTCACTTTTGAATTGTTGGACAAGGATTACAACAAGAGAAACAAACGCCGCGCTGCTGAAGTCAAGAAGGAGACTGATCAAGAACGTCACGAACATACCCTTAAGACTATGTGTACCGCCCTGGCTGATCGCGCCAACAACATCAGCAACTACCTTCGAGATACATTGGAGCAGAAGGCAGAGGCAGAGAAAATGGCACAATCCTTGGCGGAGAAAGCTGAGCGCTGGAAGGCTGCATTCGCAGAGGTCACTCTAGATCTCAAGGCCAAGGATAAGGGTAAGCAGAAGGAGGAATCCAAGTCGGTGCGAGGATCTGCAGCCTATAACACTGTTGAGAAAGACGCTGTCGGCTGTGAGGCCTCAGAGATACCACCAAGATACAAAGAGGTCCGTGACCCACAGGCTAAGCAACTCCGCCACCGCCAGAAGATTGAGAACCCACCCACCTTCATGGGTTCCCATAATCCTACTTTCGAGAACTGGGAACACGCTGTTAAGCGCAAGTTGAACGGCGACTCGATCTACTTTGATGATGAAAACCACAAGATCAATTACCTCTTGGGCTTTATTGGTGGTGATGCACAGGAATTCATAAAACCCTACCTCGAGCCAGAAAGCGTCAACCACATCACTGTTGCGATGTCTATCGTCGAAGTTATGCGAGGAGCCTACGGCAAGACCCGAGGACAGAAGCGCTCCGAAGCTCGTGCCAACTTCAAGAAACTCCGACAAGGGGATGACAGCTTCTCAGCCTTCTTCACTAAGTTACTGACCTTCGCTTCTCAATTGCAACTTAGAGACGAAGACCGCATGGATGAACTTCGCGAAAAGATGAGTCCCAAGTTGCAAAATGTCATAGCCGGATTGGATTTTGAATCTACCTTGGAGATGTCTCAACACTGCTTGAAAATAGAACCACACCTGCAATTAGCGCGCAAATCGGAGGATCAAGCCGCTCGCTACCAACAACGCAAGGACAGGTACAAGAAGCCAATTCTCCCGCCGGGCCTAACTCGTACTGCACCTCCAAGAGCGTCTGGTCCACCCAAGCCAAAAGTCTTGGCCCGAAACGCTGGTGTCTGCTTCCAGTGCCACAAGACTGGTCACTACGCTAACGCGTGTCCTACTGCTAAAGTCAATGAGGTGGATGCGAAGAAGAAGGAGGAAGCTGAAGCATCTGGATCGGAATTCACCATGAGCTCCGATGAGGGAAAAGATTGTCTCTAGGAGAAGTCGCCTTCCTAGAGAATAACACGTATCGAGTAAATGGCATTGATTTGGAAAATTTGTTTGGCGGAAGGCCATTAGTTATAGATTGTACTCTTGAAACTAAAAACAATTCCCAATTTCCAATCTCTGCCCTCATTGATACCGGCGCTAATGGATATGCCTTCGCAGATCGTAAACAACTGCGTGATTGGTACCGAAATAGTAAGATTAAGATGACGCGCTACAATCTCCGTCATCCACTCTCTATCAGAGGCTTCGACGGCGGATCATCCCGACCTCTACGCCATGCCTACGTGATGACACTGACTATAGACTCGCACCGAGTCAACATGCCGTTCTTTGCTACCACACTTGGTAACAAGAACAATGTGATCCTCGGTCGGCAGTGGCTGGCCTATCATAACGTACTCCCAGATTGCGTGCGACACCGGCTGTGGTGGCCAGAAGACCGCAATGATCATCAGTGGGACGCTAACCGTCGTGACCGACTGATTGAACTGCCCCCTCTAGAAATCAACAAACCTCCTGCTAAAAGATCTCCACATTTTATGCCAAAGCAGATATTGAAACGCCCTGCAATGGTAGCAGAAGCGCCGGCGACCCCTTCAATTATTCTGACTCCCCGGCCTACACTGCAGGAGCGACAAGAAGCCTACGATAAGAAAAAGGAGGATCTGGGTCTAGACGAAATGGACACACCTACGCTTTCAGCCGTCGAGGTTGAGACAATTGAAGCGGAAGACCAATGCTGGTTCGTAGAAATGGAAACCGCTTGCGACGGTACAGAGATTGCGCACATTGCGGAGCTCGCTGAAGAAGAAGAGAAGACACAATTGTTGGCCCAATTACCTCCTGAATATCACGATCTTGCCCATGTCTTCTCCAAAAGACGCGCAAAGGAATTGCCGCCGCATAGGGAGTTCGACCATAAGATCAATCTGGATAGCGAGCCTGAGCTCAAGCAAGCTCCCCTCTATAAAATGAATCAGAAAGAGCTAGATACCGTACATGCTTACATCGAGGAGAACCTGGCGAACGGGTTCATCGAACCCAGCGATTCTCCGTTCAATTCCCCGGTCTTGTTTGTCAAGAAAAAGAATGGAGACCTTCGATTTTGTGTAGACTACCGGAAATTAAACGCACACACGCGGAAAGATCGCTATCCTCTGCCCCTCATTGGTGAGACATTAGCCAAGATGGCTGGTTCTAAGAAATTCACCATTCTAGATGTCATCCATGCGTTCAACCGTATCCGGATGCATCCAGACTCCGTGGGATGGACTACGTTTCGTACTCGATTCGGTCAATACCGTTACCGCGTGTTACCTTTTGGTCTGTCAGGTGGCCCGGCCACTTTCCAAAGATATATCAATTCGGTCCTAGGCGATCTGCTCGCTCGTTACGTTTCCGCATATATGGATGATGTATGCGTCCACTCTGAAGATAAAAGTAAACACGTGGCAGAAGTACGCGAGGTCCTTCAGCGTTTGGACAGGGCTGGACTGCAGGTGGATATTAAGAAGTGCCGCTTTAATCAAAAATCTGTTAATTTTCTGGGCTTCATTGTTAACACTTCCGGACTCCTGCCAGACCCGAAGAAGCTGGAAAGTATTCGCGCATGGGAGAGACCTACTAGCAAGACTGCCATTCAATCCTTCTTGGGGTTCTGCAACTATTACCGTAACTTTATAGAGAATTTCTCCCGGATCGCTAAGCCACTGTACAACCTGACAGCAATCCCAAAAGGCCAGTTGTTCCAATGGACCGAGCAAGCTGAAGAAGCGTTCCTTGCCCTGAAAGAGAAATTGGTCAGCCCAACCATTTTACTGTACTTCGATCAGAAGAAGCCTACACGTATAGAGACCGATTGTTCTGATCTAGCAACAGGAGGAGTACTCAGTCAATTGCAGGAGGAAGGCGTGTGGCATCCTGTGGCTTTTCACTCCCGAACCTTGACTGGTCCGGAGGCAAACTATGAGATCCATGATAAGGAGCTGTTGGCTATCATCCAATGCTTGAAAGAATGGCGCGCAGAGCTCACCAGCACCTGGGAGCCGTTCGTGATTCTGACTGATCACCGAGTTCTGGAATACTTTGGTCAGAAGCAGCTACTCAACGATAGGCAAATCCGATGGTCAGAGGTGCTATCGCAATTCAGTTTCGACCTTCAGTACCGACCAGGCAAGGAAAATATTCTGGCAGACGCGTTATCTCGCAAGAAAGAACTTACCCCTACACAAAAAGCTGCAAAAGAACTGGAACGTACGAAAATCCTCCTCCCTCAAAAGAAAGTTACGTTGCCACATGACAGCAAGGTGTTAGCGCCCATCGACGAGGATCTGGATACTATTGATCGTATTTTTATGGCCAACCGAGCAGATCCCGATCTCGAGGATCTACGCCAGCAAGCACGACAGCGGGAAGAACCTTATTCTTTGGAACCTACCGGGTTGGTGCTTCATAAGGGACGCGTGGTGGTGTCAGCCAAAGACAATCTCCGTACTCAAGTGTTGAAGATGATCCACGAATCTACATCCACCGCTCATCCAGGACGAAACAAAATGAGGAAACTAATCGGCGACCGGTACTGGTGGCCACGATACGCAGCAGACATCGAGCGTTATGTGCAGAACTGCCATGTCTGCCGACGATCGCATAAGCCTAGAGACAAGACACCGGGCTTACTACAGCCTTTAGCCATTCCAGAACGTACATGGGATGATATATCGATGGATTTTCACGATGTGGGGGTACCAGACAAACGAGGGTTTAATAACATTTGGGTAGCTGTTGATAGATTGTCTAAACGCCAAATCTCCATCCCCACCACTAAAAGTGCTACAGCAAAGACTGCTGCAGACTTGTTCTACCGTTATGTCTGGCGATTCCGTGGCGCACCGAAGACCATTACCAGCGACCGCGGTCCGCAATTCATTTCGGATTTCATGGATGAGTTGTCAAGGTTAGCGCGCGTCAAACTCAAGCTATCTACGGCAGAACATCCGCAGACAGACGGCCAGACCGAAATTATTAACCAGATCATTGACCAGCGACTGCGACCATTTGTCAATTTCCACCAAGACGATTGGGCGGAGCTGCTTCCCGCTCTAGATGCTGCTGCGGCAGCTATTCCAAATGAATCTACAGGATTGTCGCCATCAATGATTGACTATGGTTACGAAATGCGTTTAGAATTTGACTGGAATCAGCGACTGGAACCACGAACCCCTCGAGAGAAGCTGAATCGGGACGAGGCCGCGGTGTGGCTTAAACGGATTAGCAGCGCGTTGGATTATGCTAAAGAGAGCATCAAACGCTCACAGGAACAACAGCGTGTTCAAGCCAATAAACATCGCCGAGAAGTAGACTTTGACGTTGGAGATAAAGTGTATATCCGGCGCGGTGCTTGGAGAACTACGAGACCGTCGGATAAGCTGGAAAATCCAATGGTGGGACCATATCGGATCATTGCCAAAGAAGGGCATTCATTCCGCGTTCAACTACCCGCCTCTTGGAAAATACACCCTGTATTTTCACCAGACCGACTGCGCAAAGATCCAGATAACCCGTTGCCCGGCCAGGCCAATCCAGAGCCGCCGGCAGAAGAGGTCAATGGAGAGTTAGAATGGGAGATCGAGAAGGTGTTAGACGCGCGGCTGTATCGCAATCGGCTGCAGTACAAGGTTCAATGGGAAGGCTGGGACGCAGACGAGGAATGGTATCCGGCTGCCAACTTTCGGAACGCACCCCTCATATTAGAAAAGTTCCACGCTGAGCACCCTAAATTGCCAGGGCCACCAAGACGTCTCGCTACGTGGCTGGACGATGCCGCACATGATAGATTTAGTGAGGAACATCCGGAAGATAATATGGTGACCAACCAAGGTCGTGACAACCAACGCCGCCGCAGAAATTAGTCGATTTGGGACAATCGAAGGCTGAGGAGGGGGTGATGTCACGGCACGGCATTCTGCTCCGCCATGATATACAATTACGTGGAGGGAGGATGTGAGACTGATGGCTGATGCAGGAAGGAGCACGGACGCGGCGATTTAGTGGAAACCCGCCCGAATAGGAATAGCTTCAGGGCTTTTTGTAATGAGATCCTGCTCTTTTCTATTCTTCTCCAGCTTAGTAATTGCTTCACAGATTGAATTATCGCCATACAAGCTGTACTTTCACTTGTGCCTATTCTACGCCGTGACATTAAGCTGCTATACAGAAAATAAACTTTTTCAAGGCTCTCCTAAAGTTTCAACACAACACAACATAGCGAGAAAGATGTGAAGGGAGGCCAGCAAGACAGGTTGTAAAATTGACAAGTATACTCAAGCCCACGGCATCCAAAGAGCCAGCCTCTCTCGGCGATTCAGAATGGCAGTTATGCTCTCAAATTTAGTGCTGATGTTGGGGTTGAAAGAGCCCTAGACCCGGTGTGTTTTGGCAATTTTCCCAGACTGCCGCACACCTACAAATAGCCATCCTTTTCTGGGCTGGAGAAGGAAATAACATCACGAGAGCGGCTCCTCCGCGCAGATTCTCGAACGAGGCTAGAAGATACCACCACTGGAAGGAAGCTGTGAAGAGGGCATAGGAGAGAGCACATGACTCAAAGCACAAATACTCCCAGTCTATAGTCTAGAAGGGATTAAGCGTACTTGTATAGCCATAGGTCCATCAAGGCAACAAACATACTAGTAACAATGGGGGACTATTTTCAACACCTGTCAGTGATGTCACATACGAAACTCCAGCTCTCACTCTAGAGTCTGCAGAGTCGAGACCGAGTAACAAAGTCCTCACTTCCATGAAGTTTCTCAACTGCTTTCGCCGTCTAGATCGTCTTCATCTTTCAACACATTCCCCTATCACCATTATCATGAAGCTAGCCACGATCAGATCAGATGCTAGGGTCGGAGCCCTACTCGTCACCAACCCTTGATTATGGAACAGAAGCCATCCGATGAGTTTCCCTAGCGTATCCAGCACCCGATACGGAGATGGCGGATTGGAACAAGTCGGCCTCGACTGTCACAAAGAAAGGAGATTTAGATGAATATGCGCGCCTCATGTGGCCCCGGTGTCTAGGCCTCGCCTAGCTGTGGCTGCAGGTTTTTTGAGACTTTTTCCCGCGCACGCAGCTCCATTGCTGCCATTTTTTTTTGGTTTGAAGGTTCTGTGGAAAAAGTGGCCGAATTCCACGGGTAGATACTATTATGATTGGTATATGATTTGGGAATGTACACTTGCACTGGAATAGCTAAGATAGTTTGTGTAGAGATATCTTCATTAATATGCAGAAGTGGAGTTACTATGATAATTATTATGTTACAGATTGGGGGAAGCTCGTCCCTTATCCCCTAGCTTGTTCCCTTGTAGACCGATCACGTTACCAGTATGCAGCTCACCAAAGTGTGCAACCAACTGAGCAGACATGCCATTTGGCCTATAGAAACAACCCATCTCTCGTACTGCACACATTACTACGTGTAATGCCGCTATGTAGAGACTGGATCTCCTCCATGCGCCACAATGCCATGCTGCCGTGCTGCCATGCTGCCATAATAACTACCTATGCCCCAGCTACTAGATCTACCATCCTACATAGCTGAGCATAACAGATACTGAGCTTGATACAACAGGTACAAATGATGAATCGTGTCGGTACAAGACGCTGTGATAGAGTCATGATCGTCTAAACAATATCAACACATGAATCATTTCTCTACACGACACAATGTGTTAGATAGTCATAAACTCAAGTAGTACAATAAACAAACTCTCTCTCTCTCACTCTATCTGTAACAATTATTGAGATGGACAGCCGACAGTAATATGCATGCACGACCCACACCTTCTAGCCATGACACGATTGTGCGTGAGTCAATAAAGAGCGACGTGGTCTCAACAAACAAGGTGAGCGGATGAACAGATAAATATATATCTAGGCACTAGAGCTATTTGTTTTCGAAGCTACTCAGTGTGACCAGTTACTATTTTGTCCCCGCTAATTTATTTTCTGCTCATAGTCATATTTTTATGGCGCACTATTGAGCCTGCAGTTCCTGGGAGAGTCTGAGTTGTTGCACACCTTTCCTGTTCTTGGACGTTGTCTATTTCGATCTACCCTCCCACCTACCTTTTGGCTTGCATGTAACTTGTTCGTCGTCAACGATAGCCGTCATCTTCGTGAGTATTTTATCCGCGTTAAAATATACCGTAACCTGAAATTTTATACCTATTGGAGAGACATATGAGGAATTAATGATGACATGTTAAAACCCTATTTTCATACCTGCTCGATAAATAGAGGAAACTGTGAAGGTATGAAACCCAAAGCTATCGCTTGCATTGTAGACACCAGCATGCATTCCCTGTTCTTTGGCTCTATCGTATCCGACTTGGCTCTCTCAAATTAACCAAGTTTTATCTGGATACGGTGAGGATAGATTCGTGAACGGTGCAAAAGTAGGGTTTTGCGAGTATCTATCTCATCACGGCATGCTTTCTAATATATATATATAGCCAGAGAATAGCTGAATAAATGCCAAGCATGTTTCTCATGATCTTCTGCGGTAATTTACCCAAGACTTATTGTGGATACCCAGCAAACTAAGAGATTTGAGCTGATTTGAAGCACGCATTTCTTGTTCAAGGAACTGATATCACTCATTTTATGTGATATATTCAGGGTGTCAGGTGGTCCAGCCATTCCAACTTGTTAAATAAGATGGGCGGATATTGCGGGGTTTCTCGAGAATTCCTCGCGTGTACAGTTTCCTTTGCTACCTTTTTTTCGTTTTTTTTTCGCGAGGAAGATTCCGCAGACAAATAAATTGGATTCTATCGGTATTGCGATCTGAGTGACAGTCAAACATGGGCATTATATCAGATTCAATTATACGGCAAAATAGAGGATCGGATGCTGCACGAGGTGTGTCCTGGGCCAGAGAGGAGTCCAATGTGCCTGTAGTCTACGACTCGGTTAATCAAATAGAAAACAAGCCAAAAGTGCTGGGCAATATCTGAAAAATCCATGAAATGACTCGCATCAAAGACAAGTCATCACGTATGCATCTACAATCCGGGCCGAAGCTGGTCCACGGGAAAAATACACCAAAGAATAACAAAACTTCGGTGGAGTAGTCGGAAAAAGTGTGACAAATTGATCACAGGGTTGTGAAATGCTACAAGTATCAGGGCACTTAATCATGAATCTTTCATTGTTATAATAGGCTTCTATCCAAGGCAAAGGAGGGTTCTACTTGTTAAAGATTAAGTCTGTCCGTAACTCTGAACTTATGACGGCCAGTAAACAAGGAATATCATGACCTGTCATTTAAGACAAAATGGGCGGGCACTATTCTCAACACCTGTCAGTGGTGACCCCTAAGAATCTCCAGCTCTCACTGTGGAGTCTGCAGAGCCAAGATTGAGTAAAAAGGTCCTCATTTCGTCGAGGATTCCCAATCGCTTTTGTCATGGTACCTATGGTTCTCGCTTATGACCTGACCTATATGTCACATGACGCACAATTTTCTTGCTTAGTTGTATGATTAATGCTAGCGCAGGAATGAAGTATAAGTATCTAAGAAGTTGCACTCCGGGATAGACTTTGCAACGTCTTATTAATATATTCCTACCCGTACTTCGTCCTCTCATACCTCCGATCTGCTTGTGACTCCGTTCCAACGAGACCTACCCGTGATATTACGTTGTACCAACAATCACCCACAGTCTTTCAATGGCTTCCGTAGTCCAATTTCAAACACCTCAGATTTTGTGAAACCCTTCGCTCGTTGGATGACGATGCAGGTGAAGCCTAAATCACCAGCGTTTTCACATCGGGACGAAGCTTAGAGAAACGAGTTGAAGAATATCAATTCTCTATTTCTAATTCTCGGCGCGAGCTTGTTGAGAACAGAGCAATTATTGAACAGCTTTGGCGTGATCTTTCTTCCACTCAGGAAGAAAATGTCAAATTATTGAAGTCTTCGGCAATTGACCAGTACCGCCTGTCCGGGGCCGAAAAGCTAAACGAAAAGCTTAAAGTCCAGTCTACCAATCTTGCCGACCCTGCGCACTCAGCCCGGGGACAGGTGAGGTCAGAACTGTTCAAAATCGATGAGAAATTTTCAGGTAAGGATAAGAAGTTATATGCATCCTTTCAACGCCAGATCCGAATAGCTCTCGCACAGAACTCCGAGAGGTATGTGACCCTCTAGTCACAAATATCATTAATTTATCAAAATCTGGGCCCGGGGCCAAAAGCATTTTTGGACCGGTACTTGACTAAAGAAGGCCTGTTCGATTTCGCATCTTTAGATAAAGTTTGGAATGTTTTGGATGTCTCCTACAGGAATCCTAATGAGGAAGAGGACGCCCGTGACGCCCTCGACCAACTTAGGCAGGCTTCTGGACCTTTTGGTATCTTTCTTGCCGAATTTCAACTGCTCCATAATTTTTCCGGTATTACAGACGATAAAATGCTGATCTCTTGCATGCGAAAAGGCGCTTCCAATGAGATGCAAACATGCATCGCGCAACACCAGGATATCCATAAAACGTATTCTTTCTATGAGTTTGTAGACCTTCGCAAAGATTGTGTGATCCGATTTGATCTAGAGCGTCCGGTGCCCCATACCTAGTACTCGACTCCCCAGAGTATAAAACCCCGTCTCGTCCATGTGGTAGAGGCTACCGGTCCAAACATGAGTCCGCTAGGAGGTGATCCTATGGTTCTTGACAAAGCCGAAATAACCTGCCTAGGGAAAGATGGTCGGTTGACTCCTGAAGAAAGAGAACGGAGATTCAGATTGCAACTCTGCATGCGATGTGGAAAAGCCGGACACAGAGCACATAACTGCGTACTTCAAAGGAAGAATAAGACTAGAGAACAGGCAATCAGCCGGGCCGAGTTAGGGGAGGATTATTTCAACGATGATAGCTTATTAGAGGAGTTGGAAGATTAGGCCATAATTATTGTCACAATTATGGTCCACCAAGTAGCTCAATAAACCCATTAATACTATCAACTCTATTTCACCCAAAATCAAGAATAAATTCACTTGTTTTAAAATGTCACATTCTTTCTGAACCAAGAAATATTAGAACTTGTGCATTTATTGACTCTGGAGGAAATGATTTCGGTTTTATTGACGCTGCATTTGTGCATCAAAATTCCCTTCAACTTACACCTCCTCACGCTCCTCGCATCCTTCGCGTTGTTGATGGAAGAAATTCATCTGCCGGCATGATGACACACTCCGTAAAGCTACGTTTAACTATAAATAACTATTCGGAAATTCTAGACTTTTTTGTTACCAAACTAAACCAGTACCCAATAATCCTAGGCTATGGGTGGCTGGCATGTCATAACCCATCAATCAACTGGTCATCAGGTACACTCCGCTTTGATTCCCCGTTTTGTACCAGAAATTGTTGTCTTCCGAGTATTTTAATAGCTTGTTAGCATAGCAATTATAACATTACCAAAGACTTAAATGCAATCAGCGTCACTTCACAGCCCCGAGAGCCCGTAAAATTGTCTCGCATTGATATCGCAGTCAATAGACCGGTATCCTTTACTCATTTGGACTTTCAAAAATCCCCCGAAACCATTCCCCTATCAATCCACGATCTAGACCAAGCTTTAGTTGAAAAGGAATACGAAGAGACCCAGATCATACTGCCAAAGGGGCTTCACCATCAGGCCGAAGCTTTCTCTAAGCTCAAATCCAGAGTCTTACCCCCCGCATCGTCTTATCGACCATAGGATCATCCTGAAGAAAGACTCTAATCCTCCTTTTGGAAAATTACACGGTATATCAAGAGAGGAACTCAATGCTCTCAAGGAATGGATTCAGGACAACCTATCAAAAAATTTTATCCACACAAGCTCCTCTCCCGCTGCTTCGCCAATATTACTTGTCAAAAAGGCTGATGGGAGGGTCCGACTCTGTATGTATTATACAGCGCTTAATGCCATCACCGTAAAAAATCGCTACCCCATTCCCCTAATTTCGGAAACCTTGGATCGTCTTTCCAAAGCCAAATATTTTACTAAAATTGACGTGATCGCAGCGTTTAATCGTATCCAAATCGCAAAAGAAGACGAGTGGAAAACAGCCTTCCGTACTCGTTATGGCCTGTTCGAATTCTTGATCATGCCTTTCGGTTTCACAAATGCCGCGAGCACCTTCCAGTGTTAAATAACAGCCTTCAGGAAGTTTTGGAAATATTCTGTACTGCTTATCTCGACGATGTTTTAGTTTATAGGTCCTCACGCGAAGAACATCGACACCACGTAAATTTGGGTTTAAATAAGCTTCGAGCAGTAGGCATCCAACTCAATATTAAAAAATGAAAATTTGAAGCAACTGAGGTAAAATAGCTAGGACTGGTAATATCTCGTAAAGGAATCGAAATGGACCCAGTCAAAATTGATAGCATAATGTTACGGTTTGACCGTTGTTTGAGCTTAGGTGAATACCTAAGCGGATTGTTGGGAATATTTACAACTAAGCGGCAATACTAGTCAGGAGGTCGAAGCGTTACTACAACTAAGTAACACCTGGCAATGCGTGGCTGGGTAGCAAGTATTGTGCCTAAGGATAAGTCATCAGTCTGGAGATTGACGAAGGGGACTAATTCTTATAAATACCTGTTAGTCATAGCTAGAGTTCTCTTTTCTCCTCACATAGTTTAATAAATCGATTTATTCGCAACCAGCTCGGTTTCTGTCACAACCTGCAAATGAAATCCGAGTCATAAGTGCTCTTCATATAAATTGATTATCTATCATAAACTTTTCTGATGTAGTGTCATAGCTAGATAGCTGTAAACGCAATCAAAATCTGATGCCAAAAAAAAAAAACTGATTCTATCCTCAAATACAGACCCCCAAAGCTTAAGTGATTCCAAACTCCCAGTGATCTAGCAATGACCAGCCACTCAATTATCGTAAGGTAGCATTTCCCAGCCACTGCATTTCAGATACCACTGAACCTTGTGTGGCCCAGCTATGCTTAGCCATATGCAACCGAATCAATTCAATTGCTCTTGATGATAATACTTAGCAATCTATCTCTTCATACATGCTAAGTCTAGTTTTCCAACAATATTCAATGTAAACTAATTCCTGTAGCAAATCTCTATACAAAGTTTTATGTCCGTGTTGTCATATCTACGTACGGTGTCCGTATAGCTCCTCGCACTTCATGTAAGTAGCCTCTAGCTGTAGGTGTGAAGCGTGAAAGCAGACAGTCAGCGCACGCAAGCAAGCAATACCATAAATACTTAATATTCTTCCATGGTAGAGATAACTACAATTAGATCCTGCGAACACAAAGTGCGCCCTGACGATTACCTTTCATAATCATTATTGAGAGAACTTTTTTAAATCATTCAATGTGTATTCAGCTATAGAGCTGTGACACATGACTGGTGCTATGTGTACGTGTCGGATAACTCTTTTGACGTTAGAGATACTCATACTCTGGATTTCATTTGCGAATACCACTATGAGGTATGTTTGCTTACACAAACAGTCGACCCTACTCTGAAAGTACCCAACAAAATGAATATCAAAACATCTGGTTATCCAAGCATGTCTTAGTCATCCATGCCTACGAGCACCTCGAGAAAAGTGATTGTGTTTTACTGGATTTGAACCAGCGATCTACTGTCTCGAGTGGAATAAGTGTCCAAGCTATCCAGACCCCACTTGGCAGACCGGCCAAGACGATGTACCACCGCACTATCCAGCCATGGCGATGTTTAGAGTGTCGCCTGCACTCTCGCAAACGAAGACTTGGCACGCACAACGCTCAATTCGTAAAACTCCTTGCAACAATTCAAAATTTCACCCCTGTCAAGAGTGTATCCATCCTTTGCATCTACTACTCAACTTGTCCTGAATCCTCTTACGTCCATCCCAAAGAACTATCTCCCAGATTTGTGCGCCACACCTTGTGTCCTCCGTCGGGTATATATATCGGCGTGGGCGTGTATTTGGTGACCGGCTGAGGTCAGAGGAAGTCAACGAGTGGTGTGATCATTGGAATGAGGATGTACTAGGTCGTACTTGTAGGCTTAATGAGGCTTTGGTAGGATTCGATCTCTTTGGGAGTGAAAATTAGACGTGGTGGAGTAATTTGAATTTTTGCCTCGTGGGCCAACTTCTTTGATATTGCGAAATTTGACTGAACTTGGCTCTGGGAGAATATTTCACTCCCAGGTTTGTAGAGGACACAGCATACATGTGTTCAGTCTTGCACTCCATTTGAGAGAACTTGTACTGTGTGAAAATCTGGTCCTTTCGCCAAGTCCGAATTATATGCAAGGCTATTGTGGTCATGAGATTAGGTTAGTGGCACTATGCATGCTGACCTTGTACGAGTATGTAGATCGATGAGTTCAGGTTGTGGTTGAAGGTGTATCTGAGGTACACTACACTTGATAGTTCTTCCCTAACCATGTGCCGAGCACTCGCTGCTTATTCTCATGTGCGGCCGCTAGTCGGCTTCTGACCACATGAGCTTCCTCCTACAGATAACCCAAACAATACAGGAACTATACAAACAGCGTAAACATATAATTACGTAATGTACATGCAAGTATCCTAGCTGTATAACATGCCCATCACAACAAAGGCTGAGCACGCAGGTCAGCCCGTAACAGTAAGATTCCTCTCCCCAGAGAATCATCAATAACATACTGTACCCACAAGATTGCCCACGCATCTTGAATTGAAACCGCTATACACGGTACCTACATGTCCCAGACGCCCTACAAGATTTGGCAGGCGCTCTTTCTGCGCAAATTCACGCGGCGATCTGGACTCCAACTTTTCAGTGTCTGGATTTGTCAAGTTCACTCAACGTTGCCGACAATTCGACCAATGTAAACGCAATCTGGGCCTCCAGGCTATTCGCCATTGCTACTGCATTCCAGCTTGCTAGAACTGTACATCAAATATTGACTCGGAATCAGAGACCAGAGCGTCCACGCGAGCTCTAATTGTGACAGACAAGATGGATGGAATATTCGAGACGGTGTTGTCAGGCCAACATAAAACAATCTGTAAACAGAGAGCAATTTGCGGTGATTAACGAGATCGAACAGAGAGGGCTTGCTGAAGCAGCCCGCGCGGTTGTTGTTGTCTAAAGAGCCATAGAGGTGAATTTTGGGTCTACAATGGAAATCTCCATGGTGGGGAGGGTGTATTCCGGAAATCTAAAGTTCATGGAAGAAGCTTTAGGACAAAGCAACGTCGCTAAAGCCTTTTAGGATTTACTAATCCCGAGTAGGGTACCGGCTGGACCAAGCGTGTCTGCCTACTCGTCACTAGCTCTAAACGCAGGATCCAGACCAACGGGGAAATTATTCTTATCATAATTCATGTTTTTGATTATAGTTTACTTGTCAACTTCTACGCTTTCTGTGGAATTTCACTCAGCAGTGATGGGTTAGGCCTGCACGCAGCGACCCTTGTCGGCTCCATTGGACCTGTATCCAAAGTGGTCTTTGGGCATTAGTTTAGGACCTATATGGTAGAGTAACAACACAATCTTTGTTATACGATTGCTTTAATAACGAGGCAGCTTTTGAAAATGATCATCTTCTTACACGAAACCTGTCCTCCTGAGTGTCAATCCATTCTGACTGTTATTGCTCTATAGTTTCGGCGTGGCATGAATAGACTTCGCCCGATATGGTGGCTTGCACTGAAATTATTTTTTTCGAGCTATCGAACTCAGCTACTATCCAGGATTCATTATCTGATAGGGTTTAATTTTACAAGCTATAAATAATTTTAGGACAAAGATTGACCTACAGGTATCGTAATCGAAGATATATCCAAAATTTGCAGTGGATGTCTTATCTCTCGATGGCCTAATAAAAAATCGATCTCCCGATCCAAATACAATTTTGTGACATAATGCGACATTGAGCTTGATAGTGTCATAAGGAATACGCTTTCCATTACAAACATAATAATCCTCAGCAAATGCATGTGTAAAGATGCTTAGCATTGCCATAATTGATGCAAACGTGATGTACTTCATGCTTTCGCCTTGCTTTTTTGATTGAAATTTTGGAGAAATGGTGCCAGTTTTGCTGTATCATACAGCTCGAACTTTTCAATGCTTGCCAACTATGGTTGAAACAGATGTAAATGCTTTGTATGAGAGTGTGGTATTAATTTGAAGAATGTAAATAGGGGGGGAATTTTCCTTATAATGTCGGGAGTGATTGAATCCCTGTACACACCATTGTTCTATTTTATTTCTGAACATCTCAAATAACGAGTTGCGCCGTGATGAAGCTTTACATCCTTGCTAGTTAATCACCATTAAGAACTGAAGTATAATAAATGCCCCTGTAAGCTTAATGGATAAGTCATTTCGTCTACAACAAACATTGATATCGTATGTCTATTTTAAAGTCATTTCTCAGACCAATTTCAATAAAAATTGCTTGTGCAACAGCACTTGAATTCTATTCGTTGATTTAGCTTGGTATCAATCTCCTACCCAATTCATCAAATCCTTCGATTTAGTGGGACTCGGTTGGAGGATTCTACCTATCTAGAAGGTTTAATGTTTGAGTCAGGTAATGAAAAGCTTCTAAATGTGAACATACAGGAATTCATGGCCATCAACATGTAATTCAAAAGGCACAGAGCCATACATAGTGTTGGATTTTCCACATCAGTAATGTTTAAAGTTGAAAGTGCTCTACTTTTAAGTCGATTCATGGGTTCTCGACTTCATCTGTTGTTTTGTCATACCCAGAGATGTCATATTAACTAGGCTTTGTAGGAGCAGGACTGTGGATACTATTAGGGAATGAGTGCTTATAGTGGGTTTCGTAAATCGCTATCGCTGTTATGCTCAGCGATGTTATATGGTAGTTCTAGTGGCTGGCGCATAGGTGGCTATTATTGTATTGTGGCGCATGAAGGAGATGCAGTCTCCGTGGAACGGCATTACATGTAGTACTGTGTACAGTTTTAGAGAAGTGTTGTTGATATAGGACAAACAGCATAGCTGCTCAGTTGAGAACATACTATGGTGCGCTGCATCCTGGTTGCGTGATCGGTCTACAGGCGACCAAATGAGGGAATAAGAGACGAGTTTTCTCCTATCTGTAACATAATTATCACCATAGTAGCTTTACTTCTGCACATTAATGAAGATATCTCTCCACAAACTATCTTAGCTGTTCCAGTGCAAATCTACATTCCAAAATCGTATGCCAATCCTAACAAATGCGTATATTATCGTGATAAGTAATTAGAGCACGACCCTCGGGATCAACTGGAATTCAATTGTAACATTCAAATTTTAAACTAAACGATAAATTAAAAAGCTATTTAGGTAGATCTTTAAACAGTCTTTCATAGTCTTGGACTCGGAAGAGACTCGAATTTAAGATCAATCAATAGTGATAATTAAGACTTGTATTTAAATTCTTGTTTAAAGGAAACTTGGTTAAGATAATGAACAAAAGTTAAGCCTCCTTATTTCTTGATTCAGACTTACTGAGTTGTTCACAGCCTAGTGATTGATCATTCCCTTGTCATGTCATTTCTCTCCTACGAGAAATGGCCATCTCGTTCGCCCTAAATCTATGTGTATCTATCCGATTCCATTATCTCTATTTTATCGAGTTCTAGTTGGGTCCATAACACCTACACACACAGTTAACACACTGAATACCCACGGTTTAGTTCCACAGCCACGGGCACTGTTGGTAAAACACGAAGTAATACAAATTGGGTGCCGTCACGAAGTCAGCTGTCCGTCACGAAGTCGGTGAATAATGTCAATTAACTGGTATCTCGAAATACATAAAACGTTGTCTCTCCTTTTCCTCTCCCTCTGCCCTTTCTTCCTCTACTCCAAGCGCCTCGCTAATGAGCTAAATCAGATCCCTGCTAAAATCCTAACGACATCCTTAACACCGCAATTACATAGAACAATTCATAACGCCCAAGTATAATCCTTTTACCGACAGGCACCTACTGTGAGGTGACTTCAAGTTTCTTTTTTATTCTTTGCATCAGATTTTAGTTGCGTATGCAGCTATCTAGCTATGACACAATATCAAAGAAAAGTACAGAATAGATGATTCAGGGTAAAGGAAGAGCACTCATGCCTCAGATTTCATTTGCAAGCACCACTGCGAAGTTATGCCGGCTTTTTCTTCACCCCAAGTCAACCCTCATCCGTGAATACCCACCCAGGGGAACATCTCAAAAACCCTCAGTTATCCAGACATGTCCCCATCATCCATTTACTTTTCTCCACGCGAAATGTGATCTGAGATGTCTCCTTCCCAAGTGGAATAGGTGCCCAGGCTACCCACACTGTACCCGAGAACACCACCCGAAGACAGACCTCTACATCTTTTATCGTTGGCTTATTTTTATAGTGTCAGCTACACTCTCACAAGCGAGGTCTTGGCGCGCACAAAGCTTAATTCGTAAAACTCCTTGCCAAAATTCGAAATCTCACGCCCTTCGAGATTATATCCTTCCTTTGCATCATCTTGTCACTTTTCCCGATCCCTCTTACGTCCATCCCAAAGAGCTATCTCCCAGATTTGTGCTCCACGCTTTGCTTCCTCCGTCGGGTATAAATATCGGCGTGGGCGTGTATTTGGTGACCGGTTGAGGCCAGAGAAAGTCGACGAGAGGTGTGGTCATGGAAACGAGGATGTACTAGGTCGTACTTGTGGACTTGATGAAGCTTAATTGAGAATCGGACTCTTTGGGAGTGAAAATTAGACGTGGTGGAGTAATTTGAATTTTTGCCTCGTGGGCCAACTTCTTTGATATTGCGAAATTTGACTGAACTTGGCTCTGGGAGAATATTTCACTCCCAGGTTTATAGAGGACACAGCATACATGTGTTCAGTCTTGCCCTCCGACTTCAAGCATCTGCCATGCTATGGTTCATGGACAACACAACAGTACCCTGGGTAGCATCATTTATGGAGCAGCAAGAATCCATCATCTCTATTGAAGATACTAACTCCCCGCCCTTCCAAACTTACTATGGTTTCCCAAAGGGTTCACCAGTACCGCCAATTCTATTTCTTCTGGCTATGGAAGAGGCACTACGTCTTTCCACTGGCCACTTTGGCTATGCAGATGACATTGCCCTTTTCGCGTCTGCGTCCTCCTTAGACGAATGTCCACGTAAACTCCAGGAGAAACTGGATAGCACTATGGCATGGGGTCTCACTAACGGAATTAGTTTCGAATTTCCTAAGACTGAGCTGTAATACTCTCACCGGAAGCGAGGCTCACTACTAGAGCCTAATCTTAGTATTGGATGGACAACTATAACGCCCAATAATCACACTCGCTGGCATGGAATCTTTCTCGTCCGTGCTCTTCGATTCCAATATCATACTATACAGGCTTGCCGGCAGTCTCTAGCTATCACGATGCACACGAAAAGACTGTCCACAACCATTCGGAAATTAGCCCTATATTTCTAAAACAAGCTCTACAAGGTGCTGCCTTTGCAACCCTTTTCTACGGGGCCGAGACCTGGTACTCCGAGCAGACTTCCCAAAAAATTATCTTGCAAGTCCAACATAGGATGAACGACGCGGTACGGGCAGCTCTCCCATTCTACCGTACCATACCAATAGCAGCAATCCTACGTGAAGCTGGCTGGGGCCCAGCTCAGACGTGGCTTATAAGAATTCACAGCCGTCTAGCGGTTCGAATTGCTGCAGCCGACCCCTATCACCCTCTTCGTAGGCGTTGGAACACTAGCCGCATGCGCTGGATCCGCCAGAGAATTACACTAGAACTTTCCGAAGATACCATCCCCCCACCATGGTCGGCACCCCGCGAGGAAAAGCTAATCGAAATTGGGGTAGTAGATAGACTCTCGGGATCAAATTCCTTCAAACAGTGGCACGCTGCTCGACCCATTATAGAATTATTCGTATTTTCAGGTGGATCTCTCATAGCAGACCGAGTAGACGCGGGGTACGTCATCTATCGAGACCTTACGCCGGAGATTGGGCGAGGATCACTTCCGCTAGGAAACTCGGCAGAGGTCAATGATGCTGAAATTTCCAGGGCCACGGAAGGCCTTACTGCAGCACTCCTCAACCCACTGGCTTTCTCTGCCTCTAAAGTCGCCGTTTGCCTTGACAACCGGAAGGCCGCCCTCCGTATTATCTCTGATGTTCCTACAGCGTCTAGCTCAGCGAAAATCTTTCTCTTTCGCAAGCTTGAAGCAAACTGGAAAAGAAGGTCACGCGGCCAAAACACAACACCTGGGAAAGTGGCTATCCGATGGTGCCCGAGCCACGCAGGTATTCTGAGAAACGAAGCAGCCGACGCGCTTGCCAGAGCCGTTCTTGCGGCTCCAGCTCTACACTCGGTATTCTCTATTGCGAAGGCGAGAAGGGAAGTCAAAGCCCAATACGAGGCTTCTGTTGTACTTTACTGGGCAGAAAATTCACCATCTAGAAATAAAGAATTAGGAATTGGTCTTAAAACTAAGATTACTGCCGAGCTCGCCCATCTAGGGCGACGCACACTAGGATATCTATTAGCTGCATGGTCTGGACATGGCGATTTCGCAGACTACCACCGACGCTTTCAGCACGAAAACGCCATTCTAACCTGCTCATGCAGAGAAGAAAAGTCCCCCAACCACTTTTTCTATTCCCACCTTGGGCAGTGCCAGGCACAGCTCTACAGAGCATAGAATCCTAGTCCCAGCATATCTTGGGCTCTCGCTTCCGCAGAGGGAGTTCACGTATTTCATAGCTAGGTGCGGGTCACAAATTTCTTTGGAAAAGCACAACAAGTCTGACCGAAAGGGAATCATGTGATTCAACTAAGTTCCCCCTTACATATTGTTTATTTAATCTATTCTTCATTCAATATAATCTGAAAACATGAGAGTTGAAGGGTGACCGGTAACCATGTATAATTTAATCTTCAAGTGCAGGATGATAAGATCCTGGCTTTCATTTGCTTTAGTTAGTCTGTTCAATCACCAACACGTCTGATAGTTTTATTGAGACT